TATCTATTAAATAAATGCATCCACACTAAGTGCTTTACACATGTTGCCTTGCATAAACACCATAAAACTGCTATTTCTTCAGTTCTGTTTTTTTTTCCCTTACTTTACAAAAATGTTAAGGTAATTACACTGAAAGGATTGGCCTTGGCCAGGGAAGAAACTCTTCCTTCAAAGTAGAAGAGAGAATGAGATCAAGGATGATGTTTTAGGCGATCTGGACATAAGGATGGAAATGCTGAAGGCACTAATATTAGATGGACTAACTATTCCCAGTACTGTCGATTTTTTTGCTCCAGAGCCCACAGCAATCCAGTAATGTAGAGACATCTGATGTCAGCGCAAACTATGAAGTTCATTAACATTCATATTAAGACTCATCATTTAAATGATTTTTACTTGTATGAACTCTAAGGATGGGGTTCTGAAATGCCTTAGTGCACCGTCACTACTGTTATAGTCATTTTTACCTTACCTCAACCCAAGGGCCTAGGACTCATAGGGAGGGCTGTTTTTGCCGCAGCACATCACTGGGGCTGGGAACTCAAAGGACCTAAGCTGGTCTTATGCTTGGAATTGAAACTTACCTTAGAATTGGGAAATAGAGAAGCTGCAACTGAGAGTATTCCAAAGGGAGACACTTAAACTGTGGTTTGAGTAGAGAGAGAACCTTGCCCATTTCTCACTTTGATGTTTGCAGGGAGAACAGACCTCTCAGGACTGAATAATTCCTGAGCATCTTAGACACTTTGGGATGAAAGGGCATTCAAGGAAGGGATGTCGCTAATAAGGCCAGCTGGGTACCCAAGAAATCAGTCAGAAAAATAAAACGATGGAGATACATTTAGTGAAATTTGTAGTACTGGTTGTAAGTGAATATGTGCTATTAAATTAATTCAGTGAATATGAGACTATAAAGAGAGATGAGAAGAAGAGTGAAGAAATATCTTTGAAGGTTATCTGGATTGGAGGATAGAAAGAACAAGAGAAGCCAGCAAGATAAATACAAGAATGATCATGAGGCAGAAGACCACTAATATAGCTTCCCCTGGACAGTTTCAGTGAAGTGATGCTATAAATTACTGATGATATAAAAAGTGATATGACACCAAAAATACAGGAAACACAAGGAAAGACAGACAAGTAGGAC